TGCATGTGTCTATAATAAGAAGATGAATCCACGAGGATGTCAACAATCCTGTGGGAGCCATCAGGGAAGTAGTATGGTGAGAGTCAGGCAGGACCACAGAGACAGGTTCAGCCATGACTCGAAATCCAGGACTCAGATCCAGTGCTCAGGATAGAGGATCCAGGACTCAGGACCACAGCAACAGGGTCAGCCACGACTCACGATCCCGGCGTAGATGGACACCAAAAAGAAATTTGGGGAAGCTGGGTTATTCGGAACATGAGAGTACACAGGTACAGACAGAAGGAAGAAGTAAGGTGTCCCCCGACAAACTAAGCCTATAGCAGCTAAACTAACATGTATGCACTCCCTTAGGATAGGTTGAGGGAAATGGGTAGCAAGTAAGAAGTAAGGAACAGAGCTGGAGACGCACAACGTGTCTACGTACATGCACTCCCTTAGGATAGGGTGAGGGAAAAGAGTAGGAACTAAGATGTATGCGCCACATCTATACCATGAGCGCATTGCTCCTAAAAAGTTTTTGGGCACTGACACCAATCAACAGTTGTGCGTCGACTCGGCAGGAATCAAGGCACGTATATGCCTCTCCCTGCTTCCACCGTCGACTCTACACACACCACCAAATTACATACCATCAGTAAGGAAAAAGAGTAAGAACTCAAATGTATAGGTGCAACAGATATGTTCACTCACTTCATAACCAAAATATCAATTTCAATGAACTGATCACAATAAGAACAAAACATTTACTTACAAATTTACCCAATGAAACATTTATAAATATAAATATGGACTTTGAAAACACACACACACAAATGTTTTAAACTTCATCATTTTCATTCATAATCTTGAACAAAATGTTTAAAAACAAATTCAAAGAGCAGTTAAACATTAAATTCAATCAGTTATACCAAATGTAAACGATGCGTATAAAGGCTGAATAATTGATATTAGATGTGTCAGAAGTTCTTTAAGTCTCATTATTATGAGAATCACGTTCCTCTCTTCTTCAGAGTCACAATGTGAATGCAGGTCAGTGGATGGCGTAGTTGAACTGGTTGGAGAACTTGTCATGTTTCCTGCTGTCAGCTTTACTCATCACCTCCGCTACTCTACGCATGGCGCTCCTGCAAGGGGGGGGGAGGGGGGACAGGAAGTGGTGGATTCAGAACATGTTTGATTTAACATGAATGGAAAATCATTCTGAAATATGCATAAAGCTGAAGACCCACTGAAACATTGTAAACCTATCAGATCGTTCAGAAACAGGAAGTGACGTACTTGTTGAGGACTTTCTTCTCCAGCCTGGAGCGGGACGTATTGGTGCTCTGCTTCAGGTCGCTGAGGTTCGGGTACTTCTTCTTCTTCCCTTTCCTTTTCTTCCCCAGCCTGTCAGAGCCCAGGTCTTCTCCTGTGGCCGCCTCGATGTCCCGCATCAGATCTGCATCCTTCCAGTCTGCAACAGAGAGGAGTCATCAGCAGGGTGAAGAGAGGAGGACATCTCCACATTTCATACATGGCATCAACACACTGTACAGGGTTGTCAGGATGTGCAGGAGTCACCCTTCAGGGTCCTGTTCCCCTTATCTGGGTTATTTTCCCTATAAGGACCACTGCACATTATCCCCCTTATTACACGGTTACCTACAGGCAAATCAATAATTTAACATAAAATGTTGAACATGGTTTTATTAAACAACGTTCAAAAACTTAAAATGACGGCAGCAAGGATCGAGGTTTTATGTAAGTGTCCAAGTCTGTTCACATTTTGGTTTTTTTCTTCCATGAACCAGTCTTTAAACACTGCCAGAGCCCAACCCGTGATCCCTTTAGTGATGACTTCCTGTCTCTCTTTTTCAGCCCTGGGGACAGTTTAGGCATCAGGAATCCAAACGTGCATGCCTCCACAAATAGAAAAAATAAATATTCAAAAAGTATGGAGGATAACAAATGTGTTTTTGGCCACAGCTGTTGTTAAATTGACCAGACTTCTTTCAGCGGACAGTCCATTCATCAGAGCATCTATAGCAACAGTCTGCTGAATGTAAAAATGGACAAATCAGAATTGAGTATTAATTAAACCACTGTCTAAGAAACTTAGCCATGTACCGAGAAAAGCTTAAGTTTGGCCATCTTTATGCTAAGTGTTGCATCAGTTCTATTCATACAGATCTCAGATCAGACTTTATATGTTGAAGAAGAAGCGACCTGCCCCCAGTCTGCCCCCCCATTGAAAGTTGAACAAAGTCGGTAATGAAGTCATTAGAGCTGATAAGAGAAGCCGTGCTGCACTCTCCTCTCACTGAGCAGTAAACAGTGTCGGCCCGGCCCATTTGGATCCAATTGTGGTGTTAATGAAAAGTGTAATGTCATAATTCTGCTTGATAAAGTAACGCAGAGTAATGACCGGCTAAACGAACAGACACTTCTGCTTAATGACGGACTGCGGGGGAATTAGAGATAAACCTGTAGTAATGCAAAGTAATTACACTGTGATTGTGATGGGATCCACTCTGTCAAAACACTGATCCCCCGCTCTGTGTGTGTGTGTGTGTGTGTGTGTGTGTGTGTGTGTGTGTGTCCTCTATCACTTTGTTGTTGTGATGTTAGAGGAGT